GGGTATAAGGATTATCTATTTTTTTTTATATTTTGGTATGAATATATAGGAAATGAAAGAATTAGTATGCAATGCTGCCAAAAGAAAAGAAAGGTATGAAGGTGTGTATGTAAAGAAAAGAAAGCAACCTGGGTGGGCCAATGAGGCCGTCGATGATAACATGAGCTACGTGCACTCCCTGGGGCTGAAATTCCTTGGCCAAACATTGCGATAGTGCTCTCAAAGCGAATTTCCCACAGCCTGTCTCATCTCCCCCATTGGGTCCAGTGTTCTCACAAATTCAATTAATTCAACTCAATTTAATTACTCTAGAAGAACAAGAAGAATGCAAAAAGAAAAAAGATATATAATTGGTATTTACATAGTTCGGAGTATCCAGCAATGCCGTTGAGAGAAGTGGAACAACCCGTGAAGAGAAGGGTTCCCTTTCCTCTTTCAACCATTCCGGGCAGCACCTTATATAAAGTTCATGAATCAACGTGATGAAAGAAAAGCACAGTGAGTACAGATTAATCGATGGAGGGATCGATAGAAGGGTAGGTACCTGTTGAGCGCAGTGGAAGGCACCGACAGAAGAAACGGCGAGAGATTTGTGGAAGGAATCGATGCGAAGGTCTTGGAAGGAAGTGGGGTAAGAAGATAGGGGTTGGTATGCATTGTAAACGAGAATTTCGACGAATCCCAGAGACAGCACTCCCTCGAATGCCTCTCTCACGCTTCGGGAATCGGAACAGTCTATTCTAATGGCGAAAACCTGCGCCTTCTCTTCCCTGGCTATTTCGTCGGCGAATCTCGACAACCGCCCTGTACATAGTAAATTACTTAGTTGATTTGCATCTATGGTAGCATAAGATATGAGAATAATAGGAATAATAAAAGTGGTTACGGACCCAGGTCACGAGCGAGGATGGCGACGGTGTAGCCCTCGTGAGCGAACTTGCGAGCGATGGAGAGGCCGAGGTTGGGACCGACACCGACGATGGCAGCAATGCCTCGTGAAGAAGCGGAGCTGGCCATGTTTCGCATCTCTGTATGTGCAGTGTATGAGAATGGGTTAAGAAAAAGAAGTGTAAAGGAATATTATATTGTGGAAGGGTTTGGTTTGGTGGAATGAATGAGTGAGATATTTAAGTAGTGGAGTGGAGTGAAGATGATGAGTAGTAGGGTGTGAGATGTGGTGGTTGTGTCTGAATCATTGCCTCCCTTACAACCAGCATTCTCACTCTCCTTTCTTTCACTACTACTTCCTCTCAACGTCACTTGCCCCATTCCTAACCACAAATATTACTGCTTTTTTCTACATTAATACTCACACAACACAACCCTCCCATTCCATCTTCAATTTCACTCCATCCTTCCATTCAATCTCTCTTCAAACAACTACAAATATTATGTCAAAATCTGTTCCTGCATTTCATTTCCAAAAAAAATTATGCTTTTTTTTATGCAAAGACTAAAGAGAACCAGAAATATTATTTTTTTCATTTTTCTTATTAGTGAGAGAAACAATGCACTTCTTTTTATTCAAATTTTGATTCTAATCTATTCATGTACTAAGAAATGATTGCTACCAAGACAAGGAAGATGTATGATACGAGTCACGAGTAACTAGTACGGAAGAATATTTTTAAAGAGAAATATTTCTTTCTTTTTTTATAATGTAATTGAATGGATTTTAAAGTTAATTTAATAAGATAAAATCATTTTATAAGATAATATTTACATTTTTTTATTTATACATCATAAATAAATTTTGTTTTTAATTAATATGAAATTTTTAATATATTATTCTCAAAACATATTAATCTCATGCATGAAATACTATATATCAATAATTAGTTTGATAGTAACTTAATAGTAGATAAAATAATAAATTTTAATAATATTGACTTATTTTAATAATGTTAGAAGTCTCAATAAAATCAATTTATAATATATAAATAAGTATAAAACTTATTTTATAAACCAATTTTATAGTGTTGAATTAGTTTAAAATTTAGTTATTAATATATTATCATAGTCATGGATTAAAAATTCATTTTAGTAAAATTGATATTTATTTAGTTTATTGTTTCATTCATCATCTATTGAACTATCCATTAATGTATTAGCATGATTATGTATAGAAAATTTTACATCAAAGATAAATCAATTTATAATATATAAATGAATATAAACTTTATCTTCAATATAAACTTTTAAGTTGAAATAGATTTAAAATCCATTTATCAATTATTACATGAATTATTATTTTTATTATAACATTTTTATTTATATTTATTATTACTATTATTACTATTTGGTTTGAAATGGTTTGCTAAGGGCAGAGATAATTAGCGGTTGGTAAATTAAGTAAGTGATTCCTCACCACTTGCAGTTCCAGCTCGGTTACAGGAACATTGCAGATGTGGTGTTTAGTTGCAGACACGGGGTTCCTGTTCAATAATTATTCACAACAGAACATCATTCATGTCTTGGAACTCAAAGACAATACTACTTCGCTGAAAGTATCGGTTATGTGAACTGTCGGTTCATGCCCTCGCTCCATACAAATATTATCATACAACTTGGACAAACACGACTCAAGTATATTATCCAACATTCACGTCAGGGGTATTCATTTCTATGCTTATTAATTCTATAACTTATTACATTTTATAAGTAGATTTAAGTTTTTTTTAAACATTTTTTTTATATCCGAAAATCTTAATTTATAAATGATGTAAGAAAATGTTTGATACTAAAATGGAATAGTTTGGTATATTAATTTTGAGTATTTTTGTGATGATATGTATAGGAAATTTTGAAGAAGAATTACAGTGGAGAGAGAATCAAAAGGAACTCAGCTTCTTCAAAAGTTGGTGAACAATTAAATATACTCAGTAAACTCTTGTGCTTAAACATATGGATATTAAATTACTATATAGATTCAGTTTGGTTTGTATTCTATGTCAATGATTGAAACCTACAATATTTTATTTATTGGTTTTTTCTTGTATGTACATGTAGCTT